ATTACGAAATTCAGCAAGTTTTGGACAACAACTGATAGCCCAGTTGCCGGTGGCACATCCGGCGCCCGGATGGTACACATTTGAACACGCGTGTGCATATATGTGTTAAACGCGTGTAGATTCAAGGCTAAGGTATCCCAATATACATGTGGTAGATTTGGAAGTGACTCGAAATTCACCTGACGATTCCTTCATGTCAGCCATTTTGAGGTTCGTTGGAAGACCGATTTGTTCAAGTCAAGTCAAGTCAAGAGAAAATGTATACACACAAAGGGTGAATTTTCAGCAGTTTACGATTTTTACAGTGCATGGGTACAACCATTGCAAAGAAAATAACACTATACAAGAAATTCTATACTTTAATAAATGAGACAAAAAATAGGGGCAAGAGTTTTTCCTTGAGGTGGGTGAGACTATGCCGATTATTTACTAGTAAACGAGCTAGGTATGGAATTACACTGTTTCGATATGTGGAAGTTGATATTTGGAGCGTGTCCGGGGATTTGACAGGGCTTTCGCGATATCTTGGTTCAGACAGCGCCTTTGATTACGTAGTACCCTGTCAATGAATGTATCACAAGCGTCAAAATGCTTGGAAATAAAGAAATCAACTAAAACAACTCTATCACCTCCACTGTATTGGGACAAAAGTAGTTGGTTGGTACATTTGAGACTTACGCAGGCTTTCAACAAGTGAGATGCTAATGTATCGGGACCATGAGGTTTATTGACCTTGAGTCTCCTCAAAACTTGGAGGACCTCGTCCGGAGAAACAGGGTTTATTGCATCACGGGTAGGAAAAAGGAGGTGGGACGGAGCTAGATGCAGGTACAGAAGCAAATTGACGGTTCAATACCTCAATGTTAGGACAAGAAATGATGCATGGATCACAGAGTTTCCACAAGGTAGTGCACGTCTCATGAAAGATTTTATTGTTTAAATCAGTCTATACGTACAATCCGTTCAGGCGTCTTACTTCTGCACTAATCAGAACAGAGATCTCTTTGATACCGTTACGCCTGCTGACCATATGTGCCGTTTCTTTAGCACTTTAGAACTCGATTAGAAGGTAGTGAGGAAAACCTATCGGTTCGAATATGAATAGTTTCAACAGAAAATCATTGGTTATAGCAGAAATTAGGATAATCGGTAGGGTGTTTACAAGAAAAAGACGGCTGGTTATGGAAGAACACAGAAAAGTCAGTAGAAGAAATTAAGTCCCGCAGTCGGGACAAGTTCTCAGGAGAACAATTTCTCTTCCGTAGAGTACGAGAAGTGAGTCGTGTATGAAGGCAGTGATTAGTTTTACAATACATTTTGGGGTAAAGAAGAATGGTACAGTGGTCAGAGGTTCTAATCGGGGCTCGTTTGAAAACGTTAAACATATTGGGACTATTTACATAAATGCCATCAAGAAAGGTATTGGTACGGGTAGGAAAATTGACAAGGTTCTCTAAGCCTGGAACGATTAAAAAGGAGGTGTCAAAGCGATTAAAGTCACCAGCGGTAATACATAAGGACTGGTCAATAAAACCAGTGAATTGGGTCACTACAGAATCAGAAAATAGTCTTAGGTCGAGGGCGATTGTATTAGGGGCGATATAAGTATTCACAAAGTATATGAAGTGAAATCTGCTGAGAAAGCGGGGCTTGTAGCAAACAAAAGTACAGTTGCTTTTACTTGTTCAGTAGGAAAAAATCACACGAGTGTTGTCACATCAACTTCGATTTACGGAAGTGACCACTCCGCCACCTCTGTTGCGAAATTCGACAATCCGATCACTCGTTGAAATATCAAAGCCGTCTAATCCGACCACGGCATCCTCAATATATGGGTGTAACCAGCTTTAATGGAGTAAAATGACTCCCACACTAATTTGAGGTATGTTGTATTTCCATTGATTCACGATTCATTATGCAGTACACGTAGATTTCCCAGCCTTGTGTTCTGACGCAAACTCGGGGTTTCGGTATCTGCGAGTCACTCTATCATCGAACGTCAATCCGGTACACGTGATAAAGTTGCAACCTTGGGAATAGTACACTCTGTAGCCTATGAAAACGAACTACAGGTAGTGACCTCAACGGAGGATGATATACGCACAGTGCTCGGAACCCAGTGCAGAAATGAGGTGATTGGTCTAGATAAGATCCATCCAACTGTGGTACAGCTACTAGGTGAATTTATACTACGACCTGACACCGGGTTGTTTAAAGCGTCAGTGAGCACTGGGGTAGTCCAGAGAACTGACGGATTGCGACCGTAGTAGCAACACACACAACAGGATCGAAAGAAAATGCAGCGAACTACAATCTGGTCCGTTTCAATTAATCGCTCTACACGTGTTTGGAACGAATTGCAAAACGACCAATGTGTGTACACCTGATGAATGAAAAGCATGGGTTCGTTACTGCTCCTCGAAAGTGGCCTTAGGCTGCAAAGAGAGAACAAAAGAATGAAGCCAACAGCAAGATACATCAAAACCCACTTGTACATTATCATATCTTTTGTAGTAACTCTGCTTCGTCACTGATATTTCACGTCACATTCTGGTTCCACTGAACTTTGACGCGCGTTGCTTCCCACCTTGACTTTTCAACACACTGTCCAACGCTGCCAAATTTTACGTTCAAACACAGTACTTTGTTCTACTCCCTCATTTTGCCTTCTGTTACGTTTACGCGGCACTGTAGAGATCACCTTTTCATATCGAGCATTAGACAAACCGCGTGGAGAATAAATCTAGCTCATTACACCTTTTGAGGCAATTGACTAAGACACCTAAATGGACGGACAAGGTAGTTCCTTAACAGAAGTTCATTGGTTCCACAGCAGTAGCGGCCTTGAAACATGCACTAGTTTGATGCAGAGACATGGTTTTCCCCGGAATGACTTCTTGGGAAGAGAGAGGGAAACGAGGAATGTTGTCCCTATATTTGGAATTGGCACATATCCGCTGAATGCAATACTGCACATCAAACTTTTACGTTTTATAGAAAGGCAGAACAAAAAACCAAACGCAGTGTTCGAAGCCAAGGCAACTGGCTGACCACACAACGAGCTAGATGCACGATTGATTTCAACCACTTCTTTTACTCCGAAAACTGGAATTAAGTGATGTACAAGGGCACGAATAATTTGAAGCTCATAAACAAGTCTGATTTGGAGTGGAAAGAAGGATTCAATGAAATAAAATTGTTGGATTCCATCATACAATTTCCAATGGTATTAAATAAACTCTAGCGTAGACTGTAAACCGAAATACGATGAAACTAAGGGAATACTTTGTCAACAAGGTTCTGGATGCGCAGGACTCATGAGGATATCCTTCTTTCTCAACCCCACATTTCGGGACACTTTGTTTTTCACACACTTAGCTTTGGACATTTATCAAGGACATGCACTTTTTCTCTCAAGCCGAAATCCCTCTATGTCGAAATATCTCAAACCAAGCTGATACTATATTACTTTAGAACAGTTCTTCAAAAGTGCAAACATTTTTCAATCAATCTCATCTTTATCTAAGTGAGGCTGAATGCTCTGAATACATCTTCAATAGGAACACTCGAATGCTCCCTCAGAAACCATCAAGCAAATGTACCATCTGATACATAAATCTCATTACATAGAGCAAAGTACGATAATCTCACATATGCAAACCTTTCTTCGTAAACGACGTCGGTTATCCTCATAGATGCACAATGGGAAACAATTTGGAATAAATTATTCAACTATTTGTTCTTCTGGTTGTCAGTACATTTTTTACCGTAATCTGCTGTTCCCTTGTAATTTTACCTCGTCCACAAGAACAGGATTACAGTGCTGTTCTCCATGGCTTGGTAATTGTTGGGAGTGTTTCGCTTATTCCGATGCACATTCTAAAACTGTGATATTCATATTTCCGCTTGCGAGAACTGTGCCTATAATGATCTGAACGACACCAATCAGCTGGTTGATCCCAAACTATCCACGGGGTGTTCCTACGTCATAACCAGAACCAATTTGTTCTACATAGAATTCCACATTAATAATTATCGTAATTCAAAAGTATCACATTCAGTTTGCATTCCGAATGACAAGAATAGGGTTCTACACGAACACATACGATTCCCGTTCTATTTGCGCATTATCATTAGTTTATATGACGCTTTTCCAGGAAGCAAACCTAATGTGGCTTGTGCCGATTCGTGTTGAAATTGATCCTCCGGCAATGTCCAACTGGAAAATTGCATCATTCCCTGTATGAGTATACCAGAATCTGCGGTTCTGCTTGCATCAAGAACAGAGAGACATTGAACTTCAGTCGAAAGATAACAAAAAGTTCGCACAAAACATCGCTCACAACATTCGACAACATCGAGTCGGATGGGTTGATAGTTTCCGGAGTCTCACAATTTGGAAAGGGATAAGATGACACGTGATCTCATGAAACCTTTAATAACATCAGCATAACGTGTTAGGGTTACAAATATTAATCTTTTCGTGGGACTCTACAAAGTGAGAGAGCGTTTCGTTAGCGAGATTGATGTGCATAACACTGGTCGCTAGTTGTTCGTATTGACTGAAATGGAACAAAAACCAAACAGGTAAGGCACATGGGAACATACATATGAATGAATGGAATTAGTCTAACGCATCTATGTGCTGTATCATACCACAACTGGTCATGCGTGAATCAATCGGTGTACAATAAATTCACAATATGTGAGTAAGCGCAACGAGAATGAACGGGCACGAAATTTATACACGATGAATGTCGGCGATTGGTGGACTCGAAATCGTGGAACAGGTGTAAGGGAAAAATCATGACGGGTCGGCGCGTAAGGGCGCAACGGTACACAGCATGTGACAAAGGGTAAATCTTGAAAGCATAAGACAATCTGCATTATCAATTTTCAGAGAATCCCTTCATTTGCCACAAAAGAATACTCGCTTGACAACATCTTCGAAAAGTAAATCCGGGTTAACAAAAAGAGCCATAAATCCCATAAATGGCTTATTAAAGAAAAATGACAGCGACGCAAAGCAACTTACATATGCACAACGTGAGCAATAAAACGAGCATAATAAAATTGTTTGCCGAACAGAAAGCAGCACGATCTGTGAAGAAAAAAGAAAAAAGGAACAGGAAAAACGGCAAAAAATATAAGGGAGGAAAGCACACAGATGGGAGAGGCAGATGACGTGCGCGCAAAACACACGAAATTCATATTACTTCGGAGAGCGAATAAACGCAAATTTTACCCATTACATTAATATGCCCGTATAGCTTACACTCTCGGACAGGAAGCTCTGCCTCATGCTCCATCCGAGAGGGTTTGGGAGTAATCATTTGCACAGATTTCAGTTGCTCCACAAACTGTTCCAAGGCACCATCCATGGCGGTATAATAGGTTGGACTGCTAAAACGTGTTCTTGGATCGTTTGAGCCGGCTTCGTTCTCACGTATGTCAGCCACATATATCCGTCCATACACCGAGTACTCAATTCAGGCCTGGAAGCCATGGCTGCGGCGAGATCGAAGGCGCTCAAACATCCGCAGATAATGACTACCAAGATGGTCAAAGATCTACATTCCAAGAGCTATGGCGAAAGATTACAGCCATTGCGGCTATACTAGTCTCAATATGGTCAAACCAGAGGTGATATGATCTTACTGTGTCGGATTTCCCAACAGCACGACCATTCATGCAGATCTCTTTTGGTGCATCTCAGAGGGCATCCACTGAAGTTGGCACTCCAAGAGAGCCATCTCGACTGCAGACGCCATTCGTTTGCGGTCAGAGTGTAAAGCACAAGGAACTCTCTACCGCCTCACCTGGTCTGTGCCCCAACATTAGTATCTTCCAAGCGTNTAAAGAACGCAAGCAATGACCGCGTCGCTTTTGTTAAGAACAGGCAGCGGTACTTGATATTCTGCCTCGTGACCGTACTCAAATCGCCAATGGTCCAATTCAGATGCAAAGCGATTATCGGCGACTGACTTGAACGAGAGCGACGACGCTTATTTAATGCCCATATTCGAATGCAATGTGGTTCGATGAGCAGAAACCAACTAACCTTCTGTCACTTTGGCCTCGAATTTCGCCGCTGCCGCATTAGTTTGATCCACCACTAGCTTCACATACAATTTATTCGACTGCGATACGGGGGGTTGATCAGGTACTTCGGTTCCACATTTCTTGTAGGTCTCATCTGCAAAGTTCGCGTTGTTGTCAACTTGCAGATAATCTGTGGTGCAAGGCCCCGCCGTTGTTCCGACCTGATTCCACGTGAGAATTGAAAGAGAGAGTATAGTAATCATAAAGCACGCATCGATGCGCGAATGAACCAAACAGTGCGGGAATCGATGGAACAAGTAATGAAGAAACAGGAGAAAAATTTAAACAATCAACGAATGGATAGAGCATTGCGATGATGAAATACTAATTTTAAACACAATTGAAATGCCTCTCGAGAATTATTGGCGATTGGAGACTGATGTTTGCTAGATTACAATCGATAACACACCAGTAGTGAGAACATGACCGCATTGAGGAAAAGTATACTATTCTACGAGCGAATGAGCTGCACAAACCACGGACAGAAAAACAACCAAACGGAGTGTAACTGCACATGCATCGATCAGATCGCGTGGCACACGACGGGACGGAACTGGATAATTTTCGACAGAATCTGTTGAGCACAGATGGATGTGAGAAAACACGAAAGTGCAATATGGCATGCAATTTGAACGGACAGTACGTGATGTGAAGACAATTAGAGGAATCGAATGCAATGAAATTATGATTTGTAACTAACACTGAATTTGACAAACTCCAGTTTTATTTTCTTTCCACTTGGGGAAGTCAGCGTGTAGTCGCATGTGACGNCTGGTCGTTGATCGGGACCTTCCAGTTGCTTTGCAGTTGCGATACATCCACGTCCTTGTCACCACATTTTGCATCTCTTCCGGGTGTGTCTTCGACTGGAAGAGGAAATTCAAATGCTATTGATCACATTGACATTCAGCATAAAATCAGTTATTGTGATGATAATTGAGATTGTGCGAGAGCATTTCTAAGCACAACACACTGATATCTGTACGCATTTGACTAGGTCATATTGGATTTGTGGAATAATTTCAGCCCGTTTCGGTCACTCAGCGTAGAACTGAGATTGCTTATCAATCTCACTGATCCGACAATCATGCTCGAATCTGATTACGGTCTAGTCCCGATCGAATACAGAGTGACCGTTTGCATGGAGAGACAAATAATCCACCGGCGGTCACAATGCTCACCTTTCTCGATTTATGCTTCTGTCTGTATGAAAGCATGTCGGAGTCAGTGCGCAGTTTGTGAAATCATTCAAGTTTCGAACTTCGACGTTCGACGGTATTACGCTTTGACATGGGAATTCTCTTGGATAACTGAGTAAATTAGTAAAGTACAACAATCCATCGCACTTCTTCCAGCTCCCTGATCTATTTTGCACTGAAAAAATACAAGTTATCACACTGGCAAGTCACATAGCCGATCCTTTCAGTGGACTATACCAAACATTGTTTGAAGATACTGTGCTTCCTCAGGTGTGGAAAAGCGGTGTTATTTCACCAATTAACAAAGGCGGAGTCCGTAATGAACCAGCCAACTACCGACTCGTCACTCTCCTTCCAGTATTGCCAAACGTCATGGAATCCATTGTTGCGGATTCCGTTACGAATCATCTGGAGAATAATGACTTACTATCCCCAGCCCATAACGGGTTCAGAAAACATCGTTCATGCGCAACTAACTTGATTTCGGCTGGGGACGATTGGGCCTGTGCTATAGACCAAGGCTAAGCGGCAGATGTTATTCACCTGGACTTCTCTAGAGCATTTGATAAGATAAATCATCAAATACTGATACGGAAGCTATATAACTATGGAATCCGTGGACCCGTGCTTGGATGGATTGAGGATTTTCTTCGACTACTTACCACGTCAGTTCGTGTTTCCCATTCACTTTCGGATCCAATAGATGCCAACCGTGGGTTCCGGGGAGATCTGTGCTATACCCACTTCTTTCCCTTGCCTTTAGAAACAATCTTCCAGACATCCTAGGACCACAAACTCTGCTGTTTGCAGACGAGGTCAAATACGAAGGATAATAACAAAATCAGAAGAATCATTTGGTCTCCAGAACGTTCTTGACAAAATCCACAGACGCTCGGTCTCCAATGACATGGAGTTTAACTTCACTAAATGCAACGTTTCACCACCTTAATACAATGGCCGTTTTTCTTACACTCTCGGACACGAAAATCTGCCTCAAGCTTCATCCGAGAGGGTTTGGGAGTAATCATTTGCACAGATTTCAGTTGCTCCACAAACTGTTCCAA